CCTCACACTTATACACTCACCCACACGATTATACACACATACACACACCATACTCACTCACTCCCTAATGAGCCAAATGATAACACACACCTACAGCAATACACACGCTTACACATATCATACTCACTCACTCCCTAAGAACCAAATAACACACACAAAAACACTAAACAGAGACACGTCCCCTCACCAGGTCCAATAAAACTGTCAAACTGACCAGAGAATTCAGGATAAAATGTATCTATCCAGTTCTTATCTCAAATAACAACTTAAAAGAGACTGTTTGACCAACACAAGGAATGTTAAAAAGATTCATGTGAAAAAGATAAAAAAAAAAAACAAATGAAAACTACAGACAAAAGTTCATTTTCTCCAACAAAAGACATTCATTTCTGTAGTTCACTGCTAACAGCAAGCAGAAATATTTAATTTCTCCTCCCGATGATGGCCATTTCGGTCGAAACTAGTCGAGGAATCTAAATGGAATAATAATAATAAAAAAAACGAAAGAATATTAATCTACAAAACCAGTGTGTCTAATGATTTTAATTTTTAATTTATTAATTTTTATTTTCTTATTGTTCAAAATATATATATATATATATATATATATATTTATATATATATATAACCTCATTAGTTCATGCTATGTGTACAGCACTTTAGTCAAACATTAAAAAGAAAATTAAAGAACAGCTAAGTCAGAAGAACATAAAGGTTTATATTATACAAAGAAAATATGCTAACAAAGCATAGACTCATGTTGCAGCCCAATAGATAAGTAGCAGTGTTATTTAATTTAAATCATTTTTACAAAAAGATTTAGAAATAAAACAATTTTTTTTCTTTTCATGTAATTTCTTGAAGGAACAAAAGTGTTAAACATTAAATCAAATATTAATTACTTGAATAATTTTTTTTACTATAAAATAAAGTTTTAGCCATCAACAAATTTTAAAATTCAACAGGAGCTGTTTTTACATTCATGGATTTAAATAGAAAGACCAGTTTTGCTATTTTAGCTGCACCAAGATTGTTTCTCAGTTTAGGATGCACTAGTCCGTAGGACAAGAAAACTCGTTCAATGCCAGTAGATGGGACTCCTGGGTATGACGATAAACTATATCTGACAACAAGGCCTCTGATAGTGATATTTGAAGTTTTGAGGAGTATAAAACCATCTGTTAATTGCTTTTGTCCCAACATCCACCTTGACATGTGTGGTAGCACCTATCAGGATCCCAGCCAAGGGATAATAGTGTACCTCCCAAACAAAAGGAAAAACACTATGAAAGTATAAAAATACATTTTTATAATAAAAATACCAGCAATAATACTTTTTTTTATATAAAAAAAAAATTACCAATGATACATATTTACAGCAAAATTACTAACAATATATTTAATCAATCATTTATTTAGTTCGATTCATAAAATTGTATTCAAAATATTTAGGTTTTGGCATTAAATAACCCCTGGAGGTGTTGATATACCACTAAACAAAATAAACCAACCAACCAACCGCCAACAGGAGTTGCTTAACTGCAGAAAGTATATCACTGCTAAACGCACTTTCAAAGTAAACAAAAAACAAAAAAAGAACAACAAAGACAGGAATTTAAATGCCCAGATATCAGTTTAAGCAGACAACACTGGCTGGCAGTGTTGCTTACAAACTACTCATAAAAAAAAAATGAGATTATTTATACCCAAATCACTCATACATAGCCAATGATCATCATGTGAATTTGCTATTTTAAAATGCTGTAAAAATGAAATAAATGTATGACCTGAAAAACAAAACAAATACAAGACTAAGTTGAATATGGATGCACCCAAAACCTTGAAAAATGATTAAAAATACAGATATTTATCAACTAAATTGGGAAAAAGTTAGCCAGATTTAGCCAAAATAATATTACTTCGGTCATCATAAATTATCCTGCTGCTTATTTATCTTAATCTTTTGTGTCAGCTTTCCTTCTTCTTTTGCTTTCTTTATGTGCAAAAATGAAAAGTAAAAAAATAACAAAAAAAAAACAATTAACGACCCTGAAAGTAGTATAGTAATGTTTGGCCACTTGTATCTGAGGATGCCTGTCTACTAGGGTGTCTAAGTCTTCCCAATTGCAAACACCTGCTCAGGTATATTTGCATTTATTCAACATGCACAGAGCCCACATGTTGTTCATACTGTATCTCTACTGAAAAGACCTTAGTTACAGTTTCTGAGAGAGAGTGCATTATCTGGCATGATCAACAGTTTGAACAAGGCCAGTATGCTCAAATCCTCGGTCACAATGACTTGTGACTTTGTGCTAGCTCAACATTGACACCTCCTAAATAGTTCCCTCTACCCAACTTTTCTCTTTTCAATCTGGGGAAACCATTTTCAAGCCAAGTATGTCTTACGATTAAGCTACAAGAGGCCATTACAGCAAAACAAGACTCTATTACTTTAGAAATGTGCATCTTCTATTGGGAGCTTGAGAAATTTGTATCTGCTAACTTTATTTTCATAGCTGGAATGTTGAAGTAATTTTTAAGTAATTAATAGAATTTTTAATACAGCATTATCTCTTAATACTATTGGCACTATATTTAATAGGTTCATGTATTTGAGTAGACATCCCTGTTTTTGTTTTTTAAAAAGTGAGATCCGTGTCTACTGGCCTGCTTAAATGATCAAAGGTTTGGTATTCCTGATTAAAAAATGGCTGCAGATGGTTGAATGTTGTTTGATTTTCAAGCAAAAGCTTTTTACATTATTTTGACTATTGTCCTCATCTTCATTGCCATATTTATTACAACATTTCGGTTATTGTATGCTTCGGCTTTCTTCAGGTGGTTGGAATGTCGAACCGAACCCTTTATTTCGCTCACTGGGGTAGACTGTTCTAGTTCCACGTGCCATGTTTAATGGATGTCAGTTATCAGTTATCTCCTGTTAATTCCCCTCTTCAAGTTCTCCACTGCCTTAACCAGGTATTGAACTCACTCTCTTTGTTTTAAGGGGTTCGTGTCTGAATTCTAATCACCTGAAGAAGACTGGAGCATACAACAGCCGAAATGTTATAATAAATATGGCGACAAAGATGAGGACAATAGTCTGAATAATGTAAATAGTCTACATAATACCTCATCTCAGAAATATAGACAGATACTGAAGCAAAAGCTTATGAAAAACCAAATTCCCTTTTTGAATGTTTTTCCAGTCTCTGAAATCTTTGTGGATAGCTGAACATGACACAATAAGGGATTTTGTGCCAAATCTCTTGGACTTTTGACAATTCAAAAGTCTCTCTGAAAAGTTTTGCATTCAGATTACATCATCTTCCTGAGCAAGATTTCTCAGATGTCACAATTGTCATTTTTAAAACTTTTAAAAAGCAGCTGACATATCTGAGTCTTAATTGCGTCTGTATAGTTTGTTGTTCTCTCTTTTTTTAATCAGTTCATCCCAATCAAGGTGATAATGCCACTAAGACACAAGGGAGTGAAAGAGATTAAGATTTTTAGTGAGGAGGAAGGTCAATAAAAGAAGAGATTTCAGGAAGACAGAAAATGGCAGCTGGTGTTGGATTTAACATTTTTTTTTAAGAATGTAGATAGCAGGGAAGAAAGAAAACATCACAGAAAATTCCACAGACGATAAAATAAACAATTAGAACTTACGGTTACATATAGCTATTTCAACAATAAAATGGTGAAGCCCAGCTGCCAATCTAATTGCTCGCTTAAATTCATGCACTCGAGTCACTAAGGTGGAAAACTCATCTGAACAATTGCCATGAAGATATTTATAGAAACTACAGATGGAAGCCACATCATGATGGAGGGAATTTAAATTTTTGAAGATTGTAGGGGACAGGGAAGCAAAACTGTCAGAGTTCCACACATGAGAAGTGTGAGAAAAGAAACTACTAGAATAGAACTGATGGTTACAGCTGTACAAATGTTTTTAAATGCCTCCTTATCAATATAACCCTTTCAGAATTTATATGTTAAGCAAGGGCAAATATTTTTAATCTTTCATGGGGTTAAACTCTGAAATGTTTTATAAATGACATACTTTTAAATATGACAAACTAATTTTGCATGCAGTTTCATGCCATTCAACTTTGGTTCTAATTTGATTGGTTCAATCTGGATTCCAAATTACCTAATAATGCAAATATCTTAAATGATCAATTTTCTCAAGCCTCATCTTCTGCCATTTTAATTAGGCTCCTAAATCTGTCTATATTTCTAAGATGAGGTATTGTAACTATTGATACTATTTACATTGTTTGGACTGTTGTCCTTGTCTTTATTGCGTATTCACAACATTTTAACCATTCTGTGCCCCCGGCCTTCTCCAGGATCTGTCTGTATTTCTGAGATGAAGTATTGTAACTATTTACATTGTTCAGACTATTGTCCTCATCTTTATTGCCATATTCACCACATTTTGGCTGTTGTACTCTCCGGCCTTCTTCAGGATTTGTCTATATTTCTGAGATGAGGTATTGCAACTATTTACACTATTTACGTTGTTCAGAAAGTTGTCCTCATCTTTGCTGCCTTATTCACAACGTTTTGGCCAATATATGCTCCAGCCTTCTTCAGTGGATAAAAGTGTTGGCTGAATCCAGTGACTTACCCAAAGAGTTATGAGTTCAATACCTGGCTACAGCTGTGGTGAACAAAAATCTGGACATAACTGATACTGAGATATCCAGAAGAAGCATGGCATGTGGGACTAGAACAATCTACCCCAGTGGACGGAATAAGGGGTTCGTTTCGGAATTCCAATCACCTGAATGTCAGAGCATGCAATAGTCAAAATGTTGTGAACATGGCAACAAAGAGGACAACAATCCAAACAATGTAAATTACTCCTAAATTCTTCATAATTCTTTTTTCTTTTCTTGTGCATTTTTGACTTGTTTACATTCATTTGATATCTGTCTTATTTATTTTCAGTCTTGGGCCTAATTGACCCTTCAGAATTGGGGGTGACTATGTGCCATGAACATTTACACATCAGCAGTGAGAGTTTGCGACTGACACCTGATCCATGTTCCTTTCATGCAGCCAAAGTAAATGTTCCCATCACGATGGAAAACCTTGGATGGATTCGACAATATCCGTGAGAATGTTTTTTTTTTCTCTCTCCATATAGAAAATCATCATCATCAGTACCTTGACTGCGACAATCATTGGGAGCATCTACGAACAGAAGAAACAGATATCTTCCTTAAGGGTGATCTGGCAATGGTTCTCAAGAGTTTAGCATTGTCATGTCCTTTTACTCTTTTATGTTACTGTCCTCGCTTGTATGAAAGTTTTGCATGGCCAAACCATGACATATTCTCCCACTTAATAAGGGTGAGTAGAGATTCCTGTTGGCCCCAAAAACTTTGTTCCATACATAGTCATTTGTTTTGTGCTCCCAGCAGAAGATGCCAAAGCGCTTTCTCAAATGCCTGGATCCTTTTTTTTTTTTTTTTTTTTTTTTTGACCAGGAGTGTCCAAGTCTCACGTGTGTAAAGAAGGATGGATACAACCAGTGATTTGTAAAATTTGGTCTGGAAACTGATGTTGCTCTTCCATATCTTCCAGTCTGACCATTGTGACTGTGGTGATCTGAATGCATTGCAAGTGCTATCTTTTAACATGGTTGCTCCCAAGTATTTGAAGCTGGACACTCCCTTCAGTGGTTTACCGTCCACTTGAAGCTGGACACTCCCTTCAGTGGTTCACCGTCCACTTGAAGCTGGACACTCCCTTCAGTGGTTCACCGTCCACTTGAAGCTGGACACTCCCTTCAGTGGTTCACCGTCCACTTGAAGCTGGACACTCCCTTCAGTGGTTTACCGTCCATTGTGACACTGGCACTCGTGTTCCTTGTGCTATATTCCGAATATAGAAAATAATAAATTATAATCGCAATTTTCTTTTCATGAACAAAATGGTAATTGGAACAAATTCTAAATTTTCTTCCTGTCTCAATGTATTTTATTAATTTTCTATTTCAATATCTTTATTGTTACTGTTTTTTAATTAACAGCATTTTTCGTCATCACATTCTTCACTTTGGAAGTGTTGTTGACAAAATGTTTATTACCACCAAAATTGGAATAAAGGAACTGAGTTAAAATTACAACTGCTTATAGCCATATCATGTACAGTCACCAAAGTTAAGCAATTTTGAGCCTGGTCAGTAACTAGATATAGGTGACCACTTGGGAATGCCAAGTGTTTTAAACTTGAATGTATAAAGAGTTTAAGGCTATAACCCAGTGAAACACCATTTTTCATTCTATCACCAAAGTTAAGCAACGTTGAGCTTGGTCAGTACTCAGAGGTGTAACTAATAATACCAGGTACTGTAAACTTGGATGTGCGGTTGGTATAATGGTCCTACAGCCATATCACATTGAAACACAGGTTCTCATTCAATCACAGGTGTTAAACAGGCTGGTCATTACCTAGATAGGTAACTGTTTGTTAATACCAGGTACTGTAAGCTTGAATGTGCTGGTGAGGTCATAGATAACACCTGAGAATTACAATTGGAAATCTGAGAGCAGAGTTCCAATTCCAGATGGGTTTGTTATATTCAGCTTACACACAAATACCCTCAGGGTATTTATGAATCTACCTTAATTAGTAGGACTTGTATCAGTAAATATTTCTCCACTCACCCCCCGCCCCCGAAAAAAATTCTTACTATCTAAAAATATTTTCAGGCTTTAAATAACCTGGAAAAGATTAAGCTGTAAAAAAACAAATCAAATTCCAACTGAGGCTATTTTTCTTCACTTTCCAATGGGGCCCTTGGAAAAGGCATGAATCCACACCTTCCTCCCTTAGCTATTGATTAAATAGTAAGGTAAGTAGCTATTGGTTTCAGAAGAGTAGACAGACAAATCTGAATTAAAGACATGCTGTGAAAGTGGATATTCTTCATTGAGATATTTTGCCTGAGATTCAGCCATTGCTGCTGCTATGGTTACAACTTGCATGTTTTCCTAATTACACTTGGTTTACTGCATTCATTCATGCTTGCACTGAATTTGTTCAAAATATTCATTTTTTAATTCCTTTGGGGAGGTCATTGTTATTGACTCCATTTCTCATGATCGTGACTTCTCGCAACTTTTATGTGTTTTTTTTTTTTTTTTTTTTAAGTTTTGTATTTATGCGTAATAGCATGCTGACCCTGGTTCATGCAAAATAGTTATTTGAAATAAATTGCAAAAAGGATGTCTTAATGTTCATTAGGAAAATGTGAAAAAAAAAACGGAAAATGAAAATTATATCAGATGTATAAACTGTTGAACCCTAAATGATTACGGTGAAAAGTAGTCAACTTTGGAATTTCTCAAAGGTGATTGATAAAAATACATATCTATAAGTCTACCATTCACCCATGCTTAGAATATTGCTGTCACATATGGTCCAGTGACCCTGCTATTTACCTTGAGTTCTTTGATAAAATCCAAAGAAGAATCAGCAATATTATTGGTCTTGATCTGGCAGGCTTTAGTCACTTTCCCATTGATATAAGGTTGCCTCTCTGTGCATTTTCTATCAATATTTCACAGTAATTGTTCAGCTGATCTCTAGATTTTTTGAATTTAGGTGCAGTACTAGGCTGGCATCAAGATCTCATCAATTTGAGCGAGCTTGATGTAGCTGTAGGTTCTATGCTAACAGTTCATAGGACTCCCTTTTGGCTTCATGCTTTCCAGCCAACTTTAATTTACAAAAATTTAAATGCAATGTCAATCGCTATCTACTGTCCTCCTGATTACTCTTTCCTCTTCCTGCTCATTATCAATCTTTCTGTTCCTCATTCTTCCACACCCTGTAACCCCTTGTGTTTTAGTGCCTTTTTACTACCTTGCATGTGGTGATAATGACTTTAAAAAATTATTGCCTGGGTTTCTGAACTGAACTGATCCAGGTGGGACAAATTCTTAATATTATAATTTGATATAATGGAATATGTGTACACCTGTGTTCCCCCTCACTGGAATATGATTGGCTGGTGTCCGTCATAAATAACGACAGACATGTAGGTACGAGAGAGTAAGAGCTTTAGTCTGAGAGTTAATTCTATAACGACGCCCATTGGACTACGCCATTGATCTACACTTCTTACCTGCGACTACAACGCGTACCAATCGATTACTGCTACCGTATTCTACTTGGTTATAGTAGCCAAAACCACTTAGCTACTTCGTTCAAATATAGTCCTTTCTGGGACATATCACAATGATAAGTCATAAGGTAATTCTCATTAAAAATTGGAGAATTTTTGCTGGTGCCATGTGTGTGTGCTTTTTTTTTCTTGAGGGGTGACAATGAATTTTGGGATAGTCCAGATGAAGATTGAAATATTTGCATATGTCAAAAAAATGGGAAAAGAGGTGCCCAGGGTGATCACTTATATAAACCAGTGAAGCATTTAGCTTCAATAGTCAATGGAAATAACTCAAAACGATGTGCTAAAAAAAAATCTTCCTTGCTCAAAGACAAGAATACATCCTGTAGACAAAACAGACACAAATGAATGTCAATGTTGCAAACTCACTGTGGGCTGGAATAGTAGTTAGAAAGGTGAGAATTGAATCGATTGGAAAGCAAGGACCGCAGAAAGAATCAAATCCCCATTTTGCTACATTGATGTGTAGCCGACAAATGTTTGTGTAATATTTATTCCCCATCAAATAAATTATTGTTAGAATTTATGAAGTGGTTGTACATCATTGATGAGATCTTCCACCTACCTTCAATGTACAAGGACTGGCCTTACAAGAAACAAGTTACAATGCTCCCTGATGGGAGTTAATAACCCATCCATAGGTGACATGACAAACCACTAGGCGATCACCATAAAAAATAAAGAACAGGCTCATTTCAGTGAGTATGAAACAGACCAGAACTGCTGACACACACACACACACACAAAACCATGTTTAGCTTGCTGGTCATACTAGATAAGAAATCAACCATGTACAACTTCCCCAATACATGACTTACACCTAGCAGAATGTTTGGTTGGCATCTTTTTACATTTGATTCAGTGTCCGGAAGCAACCTGATGACAGTTGATTCAATGAAAAGGACTTTGGGTCCATTTACACTGCATTTATATATGCATTCACCTCTATACAAAGAACCCAGCATTTTTCTTTTTTCTTTCTTGTGAAAGAATCTTCTTTCATTCTGTTATGCCCACATATATTACAGCATTAAAGAATACTGCACATATTTTATGGTGTTTGGGAATTTAAACTGAAGTACCAAAAATCTCCAGACTGCAGTGCAGATGATGGTATTTTCTACTGCAACTACATGGAATGTTGTATATGCAGTTATTAATCATAATTTTTGTATGTGTGTATAAATCTTTTAAAGTGACTTCATAGATTGGTGTTGCTTGTAAAAACTGTTCAAATATTGCAAAATCCAGAGACTTTTAGTAATTTGATTTATTCTGGTGGGAATGGATACCTGCCTCTACTACAAGAAAGGATAACCATTCAGACATCTTTTCTTTGTATTAAGAACTCCTCAGAAACAATGGCAATCATAATTGCATATTTCTGAAGTGTATCAGATGGTTTCTCATTAAGGTGAATTTATTTTATTAATCAAGGAATATCTGAATATGGTTAATTTTAATCCATTGAATTATTTCTGTTGAGTGTTTTTATCAGAGAATGAAATTTATGAAGCAGTTTAAAATCTGATTGTAAATTGCAAGTAACCTTTCATGTAGATCACATAGTTGAGCTCCATTTTGAATTAAAATGATTTTCGTGTTGTTTTGTAGGTATTATCATGAGAAAAATTTGAACAACACTGACGAAGTGGATGCTGTCATTGATGAACTGAAGTATTATAAGGTTTGTATTAAAGAAAATCAAAATGCACAACTTACTAGTATAACTAATAAATTTTGACTAAAATATTTATTATTCTACTCATACCAATATCTATTTATCTGTTATAGATATTATTAGGAAGGAAAGATGTTGTTTTGAGTAAGTAATGAAGTTGACAATTTGTGGTGGACCAATTTTATCAGTCTAATATCCAGTGACATATATCCTCAGTCTAATGTCATATATCTTCAGTGTAATGTCATATATCCATTGTCATATATCATCAGTCCAGTGTTATATATCCAAAAGGTGTTTTGCAATTGGACAAAATCTTTTGCTTTTCTCTTGTTCATATATTGATGAGTATGTGTAATATGTAGGAAGTATTTGATCAGTCCTTGATACTTCAACTTATTGTTTAAGTGCTTGGTTTTATATACAATGTAGGTAGGTAGGTGTGTATAGGATGGTTAGATGGGTATGGAATGCATGGTTGTAAGCAAAAGGGGCAGCCCACCAAGCAGATTACAAAATGGAGATACCAAAATCAAACAAGTGCTACAATTTAAATGCCTGGGAAATATTACACTGAAATCTGAAGGTTCATTGGGATTGCAAAAAATGCCTTCCAAAGTTAAGTAGAGTACAAAGAAACAGAAAAATTTCATTAGAAACAAAGAAAAGAGTACTGAACTGTTGCGTAATATCAACCCTGTATGGCAATGAATAATTAAGGGACTTGAAACAACTGAAATGGAGTTCTACAGAAGGATCCTGTGGATGTAATGGACTGAACATGTGAGCAATGACCAAGTTTTAGAGAAAATGAAAACGAAACTTATACTTAACATCAGAAAGAGATACTTGAAATTTCTCGGGCACATAATGAAGAAAGAGGGCTTGGAAAAACTGATACTCACAGGACATATTGAAGGCAAGCGTGACAAAAAAAATAACAACACATAACCTACTTATTGAGCTTGAGTAAATGGATGGCAGCACAAGGTTTAGAAGAGTTAACAAAAAAAAAAAAGCATCCTGTGTATGATGATAAACTTACATCCACTTCCTGGGTAAGACGATAAACCAACAGCAAGGCCTCTGATCAGAAGGTTTTGAGGAGCATGGAACCACTTCTTAATTGCTTGTGTTTCCAAGTTCACCCTGACCCAGAGTGGTAGCACCTGTTAGGCTCCCAACTATGAGCAAATAGTTAAGCCCTAAACTGGGTTCAAAACAAATGAAAGTATAAAAATAGGTTTTATTACCAGCAATACATTTTTGAACGAAAAAATTATTACCAGCAATAAAAAATCTTGGCAGCATTAAATAACTCATTGACGTTGATATGCTATAAAACAAAATAAACTAAACCAAAAAAAAAAAAAAAAAATTTAAGAGCTACAAAGGATAGGAAATTGTGGGGGGAGCCATGATTGCCAATGTCCTGAAGGGACATAACATACAAAAGATAGGTCATTGATATTTTTAGATTCAATGTAAAAGTTCAAGTTATACTGGAAAAGTCCATGTAGTAAATTAAAGAAAAGCAATGTGTTAAGATGTTCAATAAAGTGTTCTGTTCGTCTTTGTTTGCAGAGCAAATAAATTATTTTTCTTTTTTAAATATTTCTATACTCGGTCATGCTGTCTTTTTACAAATTTTTCATTTCATATTTTTTTTTTTTTTTTTTTTTTTTACAATTTATAAATTTTTTTTTTTTTTCTTATTTTTGCTTATTTTTTTTTTTTTTATTGCCATGCCATAAATTAAGCTTCATTTTAACTAGAATTTCTTTCATTTCATTTCAGTTGTTTTATTTCCACTAGTAGTATTATTAGTAGTAATATTATCTGCAATTTTGATTAGATAAAGCATTGTCATGTATTCTTCATTTTTCACTAGGATTTTTTTTCATTTCAAGAAAAGAAAAAAAAATGTCTCTATATTATCTATATATAAATATTGTCATCAGTAACAATCCTCATTCTTTTCTGTTGTACATAAGGGTACATTGAGTACATCCAGTCATCATCATGAATCCAGTAACCAACTATGAATCAAAGGAGCATCACCTGTACTGCAGTAAGATAGTCTGTTAGAGCCCAACCCTCTCCTGGTGGGTTTAAAATCAATGTTGATTTCACCTGATCTGTCCTATTTAGCCATAGCTAGTGGGGTGATGAGATGAATTCATACCTTTCTTAAGGGTATTTGTGCAATGAATACAACTGGAAATCAGTCATGGCTGCCTGAATTCTCACTATCCGTTACGCCACAGTGCATCGACATTAAGTACATACATTAATCATATTTTATTGCAAGTAGCTTTCTACTGTCAGTAATATTAGCCATAATTTATAGCAATAAAAACAGTTTTTTTTGTCTTATTTTGTTTTGGTTCAATGTGAAGCAAATAGATTGTTTGCCAAGTTTTACTATAAATTTTAGGGAAGAAACAGATTGAATGTAATAATTGAGTATCAATAAAGACAGTGGGCAATAAAAAAAAAAAAAAAAAAAACAAAAATTTTTATTTATAGAATTATATTGGGTTGTCTAGAAAGTGTTCATATCAATTTTTAGTTGTTCATGTTCCAACATGTTAGAAGACGTCAAATTTATCGACAGATATAATATGCTTACATTTCTAATTAGAGCACACGTCAAATTATCTCTTGAGAAAGTTTAAAATTACTTAATTCCTGTCAATTTTGCATCCGTATGAATGTGGAAGATTATAAAGTGCCTTTTAGACACTTAATGCTTTTTTCTTCTTCTTTTTTTTTTTTTTTTTTCACCGTCAAGGTAAAAATGCCTTGCAAGCAACAAAAAAAGATATGTGTTGTATACTGTGAGGGTGTAGGTCCTTTAGCTGACAGAAGTCTATGGGAGTGGTTTGCTAAGTTTAGAGTTGGTGATTGTAGCCATACTGATAAAGAACCCTCAGGCAGACACCACACCCACTGCCACAGATGACGATCAAATCATGCCATTGATTGAGAATAACCCAGATTACACAATGTGGGAATTGGCAGAAACATTACATTTATCAAAATCCACCATCCATGAACAGTTAGTGTAGCTTGGTTATTTATATTGCTACAATGATCTGAGTGAAAAGAATTTTTTGGATTGCATTCATTTTGTGATTTTCTGTATAAATGCACCCTTTTTGAAACAAATTGTGATGTGTGATGAGAAATGAAAAAGATCCTGGGGTAAGTGATATGAGCCAACTTTAGCCACCTCAAAAGCAGGTCTTCATCCTAAGAAAGTCATGCTGTGTATCTGGTGGGATTGGAAAGGAATCTTGTACTATGAGTTTCTGCTAAGTAACCAGTCAATTGATTCTGAAAAGTACTGCTCACAACTGGACAAATTACAGGCAGCAATTCAAGAAAAACACCCAGAACTGACGAACAGGAAAAGGTGTTGTTTTCCATCAGAATAATGCCAGACCTCACATTTCTTTGGGAACCTGGGATGTGTTACCCCAATCCACCTTAATCACCAGACATTGCTCCTTCAGAGTTTCATTTATTAAGGTCCTTGCAAAGTAATCTCAATGGTAAAAATTTTAGTTCTTTGGATGACATAAAAAAACACTTTAATCAGTTCTTTGCCAAAAAACCACCAAAATTCTGGGAAGATGGAATCTTTAAGTTGAAGGAAAAATGGTGAAAGGCTGTCTGAAAATAAAAGGTTTTTCTCAAAATAATTTGTAGGGAAGGGGTTAAAACCCACTTTGAGATTCTTTTTTCTGTCACTCTCTCTCTCTTTCTCAGATTCATCTGATGCTAAAAATGACCAGTCAGATTTCAAATACAATACATGAACATTAGATAGTTGTGGACAAATATATCTCTTGAGATAAAGTCTAAAAACTCAATAATCATCAGTTGTCAACTATGATGCTTTAAAATGGAAGCCAAGTTCGTAACCACTTGACTCTTACTGTGATCAAAAGCAAAACAACAAATCAAAGTAAATACTACCCAATGATTGACAGTTAAATTTCTTTCTTCAATAACTCTATAACTTTTCCCTGACAGGAAAATGGAGGGTCTGCTATGGTGGACAATACAGTAACAGGTTTAGAACCCAATGTGCCCTTGCTAAAGAAGCTGTCTGAAGAAACAGGAGTTCATATCATCTCTGGTACAGGTATGTTGAATATTGAATATTCAGGTCTTTGAATTAACAGAATGAATCTCAGCATTGGTGAGCTTATGTCAATAGACCTTTAAAATTCCTAACGAAAAAGAGCATTAACAAAAAAAAAATATATTACTTTAAATTGGTAATACCTTTTCCCTGTGTAGATTTATATTGCTTCTAGTGTGAATACCTATAGCTCAGTTGTGTTTAGTTCCACCTGATATACTTTAATGCCCAATTTTGCACTTGGTGGATATAAAGTCATCTTCTAGGGGATTTTACGTCTTTTGACATTCTGAAGTGACACAGAGTACAAAACTTACTTAGGTATCTCTTTCAGGGAATCTAGTATATAATGGGATCATCACAGATCAACTCTTTTTAGATCTGTTCATTTCAGACCTCTAGTATTTTCTGGCATGAATCATAATCCAATCATTTAAGGATTATTTTCTGACCCTTGTCTAGTTTTTGATGTTGTTACTGTATTTTTTTTCCATGTAGGCTAATGTATAAGTTGATTGAAATGTAATGAAATCAGTATAGAAAAAGAAAAAATAACTGAATTGGTTTGAATAAAAGTAGAAATTACTAATGTTTCTCTTGTCTGATTTTAAAATTCTCCTGCTAGGCTTCTACGTTGATGCAACACATTCAGATGAAACTCGAGAGAGCAGCGTGGAACAGCTGGCATCCAAAATGCAAGATGATATCCTTATTGGCGTAGATGGATCTGGTGTGAAATGTGGAGTCATTGGAGAGTTGGGATGCAGTTGGCCTCTTACAGGTAACTTTTATGCGCCATGTCCATTCAGGATGTAAGTGATCATGGTCCTCCACATTTTCCTGTCCCTTGTAGCTCTTAATAAGTTTTGTCTTTTTGTTATTTCTCTCAAACCCTTTTCTACCATCCAATTACTTAAGCCTATCAAGTATGTTATGTTGTTTTCCTCTGTCCCTCTTTCTTTCTATCTGTCCTGTGAGTATCAAGTTTTCCAAGCCCTCCTTCCTCATTATGTGCTCCAGAAATTCCAACTGCCTCTTTCTGATGTTAAGTATAAGTGTCCTTTTTTTTCCATTTTCTCCAAAACCTTGTTTTTGCTCACATGTTCGGTCCATGGTATCCTCAGCATCCTTCATTTCTGTTGCTTAAAGTCTCTTCTTCATCTTTGAGGAGGTTATCCAGCATTCACTGCCATACAGGAGGACAGATACGACGTAACAGACTAGAAATAATGTCACCCTTTCAAGCTTGTAATGAAGTTGTCAAGGTGAGTAACAATATAACGGCAATTTGTTCATCAAAAGAGCACCAAGATAATGAGAGAAAGAGAGACTGAAATAAATGGGGGGGTCAGTTTTGCTTTTTTTTTAAATAATTTTTAAAAAATATAATTTAAATAATTTCACCCCAAGCAAGGTAATATAGCCACTAAGACACAAGATTGAAGGAAACTAAGAAAACGTTTCCGAGAAAAGAACAGGATTTATGAAACAGAAGATGCCAATTGATAATGTGTTTAAATTTTTTGTCGATTGTAGATTACAAGAAGAAGGCAAGAAGGACCTATCAGCAAAGAACTTACAGGCAGCCATTTCACCTGTAAAAGGTGCCAATCTAGTGCTGCACTTAAGTTCATGAAGTCAAGGTACCAAAGAGAAAAGCTCATCAGAAGAATTGCCATCAAAAAGGCACAGGGAAGCTACATTAAAGCATTAGTTAGAAAATGATGGACACCGAGATGTTCGATCTTGTTAAGGGGTTTCAGATTTGTTCAGTTTCTCTGCAAGAAAATGACATTAAAATCATTTTTATTTATCTGTTTCCATTCAGGTTTCAAACAAAAATGAGAGAACAAAGGAATATTTTCTGTATTTACAGTCAAATTGCACTGAAAGCACCATGAAAAAAGTACTGATCAGGATGTTAGACAACATTGATTCTGAGCAGTGCTTTTTTTTTTATTACTGAGTGTAAAAGAAAAATGAGAATATTACTGTTAAGGAGAGTGGACAATAAAAGAACAGGGATTAAGAAGACAGAAAATAATTCTTAGCATTGCATTTAAATTTTTGAAGAGCAAAGTTAACTGGGAAGCAAGAAGCCAAAAGAGAGTTCGACAGGCAAGAAGTGTGAGAGAAAAAAAATTGTTGGCATGAAACTTACATTTACATCTAGTAATTTCAACTGTAAAATGATGACACCTTGCTACCAATCTATACCTTTTACTTTCAATTTGAGAATAGTAATTTTCAAAATGGAATAGTTGCTTTTAATTTGTGAATAGTGACTTTCAAAAGAAAACATTATAAAGGAGAGAGAACAATGAAAGTAATCAGAAAGACAGTAGATAACGATTGATATTATATTTAAATTTTTGAAGATCAAAGTTGACTGGAAAGAAAGAAGCCAGAAGAGTGTTCCACAAGTGAGAAATGCGAGAAAAGAAACTGTTAGCATAGAACTTATGGTTATGTCTAGCTGTTTAAACTGTAAAAGGGCAAGACCTTGCTGCCAATCTAGTACTGCACGTAAATCTTTAAAGTCTAGGTACCATAGAGTAAAGTTCATCAGAAGAATTACCATGAAAGGATTTATAGAAAAGGCACAGGGAAGCTATGTTACTGTGGGGGGGAATGTGACTGAAGGCAAGATGCCAGTTTAGGACCAATAACGTTGCAGATTCTGTTTTGTTTTTTTTTTTTTTGTATTTTATCAAGGATCTGTAAATACACAGCATGAACTCCAGACCAGATATGGCAGCAATATTTAAAGCCATTATGAAGGATACACTCAAAAATGTGTAAGATAGATTCTGGAGAGAAAAATTCACTAGCACGACACAGTGAAGCAGTTTTCCTAGCAGCAGACCTAGCAACTGATTCAATATAATTTTGTAATATATTTAAGGACCTTTTGGGAACACTGGGTAATGTAAGCATTGGGCAGTAAAACCCAACAAAAATTCACCTTAGGAATATGAGTAGAGGTTAAAATAATATTGGTGTATATAATATCAAATCTTACATCTTCTTGCTGGAGGAATGTCACTGTCAAGGCGATCTCTGAGCTGTGCCCCTTCAGGACATTGGCGATCATGTCTCTCCACAATTTCCTTTGTATTATAGATGTTAATAAATTTTATCTTTTTATCTCTCATAAACCTTGCATTGCCATCCATTTACTCACACTTGTGAGATAGGTTAAGGTAGGTTTTCTTCTATCTATCTTGCCATCAATCTGTCTTGTGTGTATCAAATTTTTCAAGCTGTCTTTCCTTATGTATCCTAGAAATTTCAACTGTCACTTCCTGATGTTAAGTATAAGTGTCTCTTACACTAGAGAAAATAGCTCATGAAAATGGATTTGGAGGTGTGTCACATGTATATATCCTCCAAAAGAAAATGGCGGCTTTACAAGTCTTATATTTTTAATAAAAGATAGATCTTGAAGATGGATACTTTCGCAAAACTCTCTTTCCACCTATGCAAATTTGATCTGTCACTCAGTCTATAAAAAGTGCTTAGCAATGAAATAGAGCAGTGTGACTAATAGCAAACAGGTGACAGGTGTCGTTGGATTGTTTGACTTCCACAACTCTGTTGGTTGAAGGAAACGAATTAGGGAACTTTATTACAAGCAAGAAGAAATTGATTACATTGTCATTGCTCAATTGTTTGGTCTATGGTATTCCTTCTGCAGAATCACATTTCTGTTGCTTCAATTCACTTCATCTGTGAGAGGATTGTCTAGTGTTCACTACCATATAGTAGGACTGATATTACATAACAGTTCAGTACTCTTTTCTTAATTCCTAGTTATGATGATAAACTACATCTGGCAGCAAGGCCTCTGTTCCAGAGATTGGAGATTTTGAAGAGTATGGAATCATCTCTTAATTGCTGTTGTTCCCAGGTCCACCCTGACCCCAGGTGATAGCACCTGTTAGGGTTGCAGCTATGGACAAATAGTCCAAATAAAAAAAACTATGAAAGTCTGAAATTCATTTTTTTTATAAAAAAAAATATTACCAACAATATATATTTATAGCAAAATGACCAACAATACATTTTATAGCAAAATGACCAACAATAGATTTTGTTTGTAGTTGAAGGCATACAATATCATTCAAAATATATTTAGTTGAAGCTGTAAAGTTGTGTTGAAAATATTTAATTAATTAAAGTTGATATGCTGCTAAAGAAAATCAACTAACCAACTCTTTTCTTAGTTTTTAACAAAATTTTCCTGTTTCTTAATCCTTTGCTTAGCTTTGGAAGGCATCTTTCGCTATCCCGATGTGCCTTCAAATTTCAGTGCCATCACAGTTTCAACCACTAATTACGCAAAGTTCATTTTCATTACTAAATCTAACTACTGAATATAATATCTAATAATATATAATATCTTTGAAAATTACTCAAGGGACTTTGTTCAAAAATATTTCTGTTCTTTTACATGACAAAATTCATGATGAATGACAACAATTTTGGAACCTAGACAAGAAATTTATTGTCATCAACTAAAAGCAAAAAAAAAACTTTTTTTAAAAAGGCCTTTTCATACTTGGCAGATTGAACAAGACAGTCTGTTTTTATGCCATACCAATTCAACATAATAATGTAGAATACCTACGGATGATAATGGGTATGTCCCCATTCACGTAAATACAGTAGTAAATACTGTATGTTGGTCTGCCCTTGGAGATTTGTCTCCAGCTATGCTGGTCGGGCTTTCTGCCTCTGCGCAGAGAGGATCCTCAGACGAGGCTATGTCTAAAAGCAGTCTCATCTTGGGAAACCGCTACCTGACTCGATTTTATATGGGGACTACAGGGAATTTTTGGCCGAGCCTATGGGTTTGGATACCCCACATTAAATTCGGCCTTGTGCCATATCTAACTGCATGGGTGGTTGATAGATATCCTGCAATTGGAGATTCATTATGGAATTCACTTGACTCACTTCTAGCAGTTGACTACTTCTACATGCCGCTGGTGAATCTTATATGTGTTGTTCTTGTCCTAAGTATTATCGTTCATTACCAACCTTCGCTTGATTATTCTATTCAGTAACCTTCCCTAGGTTACAACACATAGCCAATCTAAATAATAATAGAGCCCCATAAATTCTGATTATTAGCATATTTGATGACATCAAAGCCTTTTTGTTGTTGTTGTTATAGAATACTTAGACCACTGGTATTTGTGTTGGTATCATAATGGAGAGCAGCTCAGAATGAGAAAAATGAGAATTCCTGTTGAATTTGTTATTCATTTACTTGCTAATATCTTTGGGGAAAACTATGTATCCATCCCCTCCTCCCAGCTATGGATTAAATAATAGAACTTGGATCTAGAAAAATCATTATTATTCTAAAAAAAAAAAAGTGGTTAATGAAATATTTCACTCAAAATTAAAAAAAAAAAAAAGAAACATTATTCTTACAATCCAAAACATGTTTTGGATTCAAATAACCCACAAAAATTGATTAATCAATTAACAACCAATATTTGTACAAGGGTATGTTAAAAAGTTCTTAACCCAATCCACTTCCTGGCTTACAGCCAAATCACATTGAAACACCAGTTCCTGTACAATCAATAAAGTTAAGCAATGTTGAGCCTGGTCAGTACCTACATGGGGGACTGCTTGGGAATACCAGGTGCTGTAAGTTTAGATGTGTGGATTCCAATTCCAGTTGGTTTGTAATATTCACTTAGGCACAAATACCCTTGGGGAAGGTATGAATCCACTCTCCCCCAGCTATGGGTTAATTAGTAAGACTTGTACCTCTAAACCATTACTATCACACAAAAAAAATTCTTAGAAGCTAAAAGTATTTTCTGGCTTTATATAACGTGCAAAGGGTTCGTAAGCCATAAAAGATGTTTCAATTAATCAATCCACTTTCTAAAATCAATATTCTGATATTTGGCCATTAAATTTCTAATCATGGCTCAAGCTAAGAACTTTTACTCATCAACTCATGCTGGAACTGATCATCTATGGCAGCATTGCTCAGCCTTTTTAAGCAACGGTACACCTAAGAGAAAATGAAAATATCACAGCACAGCAAAATTTTCAAAAGCTATGCATTTAAATGTTATGAAATAAAACCATAGTTTTTTAAAGAAATACACTTACAATTATAAACTTGCTTTATTTGTATGTTTCTATTCAACTATTTGTTCAGTTTATTTAGCGTGGAACCTGTGCCTGTTTTTTTTTTTTTTTTTTGTGATTTCTTCAATGTTTGATCGAATGTGCGATAAGCAGACCCTCATTTCTTCTTCAATTGAACATAGTCTTTGTCGCTTATTTTTGATGTTATTTAGGGTTGAGAAGCCTAATTCACATAAATAAGAAGTAGAAAATTGCAATAAAACTGATAAAGCCTTTTTAGCTAATATGGGATATTCCTTTTGTATTGAAATCCAAAATGTATCAATGGGTTTCGTTAAATTATTATAATTATAGTAAATGGGTATAGCAATTCATTAATAGTTTACTGAGACAAAATTACCTCATCATCTAAAATTGTACACTGACTCAGCAGATAAGCCGATATTATAGATCAGGGAATCCCAAACTCTTTAGCCCTGTTTTCTTTTTTCAACTTTTTTGAGAAACAGCACACCTAGGGGCAAATGAAAATATCACAGCACACTTAACAAAATTTTTAAAGGACATACATTTAAATGTTATGAAATAAAATCATAAATTTTTTTTTTAAATTACATAAATATAAACTTTATTTCAATGTTTCTATTCAATCAGTTGTGTAGCTTATTCGGTGTTGAGCCTGTGCCTCGCGTTTTTTCACGATTTCTTCAATGTTTGTTCGATAAGCAGACTGTCATTTCTTCTTCAGTTGAGTGTAATCTTTCTCACTTCTTATTTTTTACGTTACTTATGGTTGAGAAGCCTAATTCACACAAGAAGTAGAAAATTGCAATAAAACTGATAAAGCCTTTTTAGCTAATGTGGGATATTCCTTTTGTATTGAAAATCCGAAATGTATCAATGAGTACTGTCGCATTATCATAATTATAGTAAGCGGGTATGACAATTAGATCAGAGGATCCCAAACTCTTTAGACCAGTGTTTCTCAACTTTTTTTAAGCAACAGCACACCTAGGGGCAAATGAAAATATCACGGCACACTTAGCAAAATTTTGAAAGGATATGCATTTAAATGTTATGAAATAAAATCATAGATATTTAAAAAATTACACACATAAATATGAACTTATCTTATATCAATGTTTCTACTCAACCATTTGTGCAGCTTATTTAGTGTGACACCTGTGCAACCTGTGCATCTGGTGTTTGTTTCCTTTGTGGTTTCTTCAATATTTCATGACACACTTAAGAGAATTGTGCAGCAAACAAATGTACCACAGCACAGTGCTTGAGAATCACTGGTCTTCAAAAGTGAGTCTTCTATTATATATGGTTGTTACTTTATTTAAGATCTTCCTCATCACTTGAATAATGTTTATTATAAATTTCTAGAAAGTCCTCCATCCTGGGTATGACAATAAACTACATCTGCATCCTGGGTAAGATGGTAAACTATGTCCGACAGCAAGGCCTCTGATCAGGTTTTGAGAGGCATAGAACCACCTCTTGGTTGCTGCTGTTCCTGGGTCCACCCTGACCAGGGGTGGTAACACCTGTTATGGTCTCAGCTACAGGTAAATAGTTAGTCACCAAACTGGGGTAAAAATGTGTAGAAATATGTTTTATTACTAGCAATGCATTTTTGTAAAAAAATTGTTACCAGCATGAATTTTTGAAGAAAAAATTATCAGCACTATTGTTAAAAATACACCTTTACCTGCCGAATCTAGGTGCGTCGTCAGTGTTGTTGCTCCCATGTCACTAGAAGTTTCAGGTCTAAATAAACAACAGACTTCTTCGATGGGTGACCCGACCAAATATGTTCAGTATTCGGCCCGCACCCAGAATAAAATTTGCTACTAGGTTTAGGACGTACTTTATATAAGTTCTCCCAGTAGACGGTAACTAATCAAGTGTTCACGTGGGCTATTCGATGTTATAGATTGGGTATGCTTGGTTGTACTGATCTTCCTACATGTGGCCATGACAGGGTGTTTTTTGAAAGAAGAGAAGAAAACAAACCAATAAATATATATATATATATATACATTAATAAAATAAAAACGATTTATTATATTGGCTCGTCTTACAACTTATTTTCTTTCTCTACCCCACCTTAACTTTTTATTATATCTATTTGTTTGGTCTTTCTCTTTTTATATCTTTCCTTTTTATTCTTTTCTTCTTCTTAACTATACTTAACAAAATGTTTACAATAGAGTGATTAAAATGACTTAGACTATTTACAAAAAAAAACTCCTAGAATACATTATTACCAGCAATAAAAATTGTGTCGGCATTAAATAACCCATAAAACAAAGAAAATTAGAAAGTCCCAATTAGTCTATAATTCAAAATATACTTTTACTATTTTTATTAAAATATATATATATATAATTTTTTTTTATTTCTTTTGTAAACAATTTATGTTTTTTTTTCTTTTCAAAGTTTACTTCATCAATTTACTTACAATTTGGAAGTTCCATATCACTTCTCAGACTTACTATGTTGATGATGATCAATTCAAAAACAAATGACCTCTTTACCAAAAATTAAAAAAAAACAAAATGTGCCCACTTAAAATTAATCTATTCTGCAGTGTTGTCACCTAATGAGTTACATATATTTAAGGAATCAATTTTGATATTGTAAAACAAAGGTGACTGAAATTTTATGGAGTAAAGTAATTATTGCAATAAAAAATGGACATATTAAGATCAAACAACAGGAAAGAAAATCTACTCCATGCTGAAGATCCTAGAGACTACAACAGATGTAACAGCAAAATTGTCCAAATCGTGTAACAGCATAATTGTCCATCCCACAAAATGTTTAATATCTAAATCCCCACTAAACTGAGTTTTTTTTCCATGTTTTCAGATAAGACGGTTAGCTATTGTAACACTTTTTTTCATAAGAATCAATGAAAAACCCTTTGAGTTATTCTGCTAGAAAGAGAACAGGTTAAAATTGTTTTGTGCCAGCCCCACTATGTCTTCCCAAGTGAGCAATGGTGAGAGGAAAAAGATCATTCAGGCCTTCAGTAATGGTATCAACATTCATACTCTGGCTTCCATCTTCCATCAAAGTCCATTCAAGAACCATCAAGAGAACGGTAAATAAGTTTAAAAAAGAGGGAACAGTCGAGTGGAAATCTGGGTCAGGGGGTCACAATAGGAAGAGGGATCATCATTTCAACTTAGAACTAAAGAGATCAATTAGAAAAGATCCAACTCAATCCCAAATAAGTTGGGCATGAGGGAGAGGAGTTTCAGCTATGACAGTCCAAAGAGCAGTGAAAAAAAAAGACTTGAAAATGTAATTGTACATGAAACCTGTGAGGCACCTTGTTATTCCAGGATGGAAAAAGAAGCTTAGAGGGCAAAGTTCATCTTAAATAAGTTGGAAAATGATCCTGAAAATTTTATATATATATATATATATATATATATATATATATATATATATATGTACTTTATTTCAATCATTCATGAACTTCCAATCCTTAGCTAAAATTAATTAATGTTGAACATGTCATTTTCATTTATGATCGATTTCATCATATTTCCATTAAGCTTGGAAAGTAATTATACATTCTTATTGCTCAAAGTCAAATCCAATAGTGTTATAAAAACTTTGGAGAATTCCAGTAAGATATCTTTAATCATTTCTAAGATACAACAGGTAAAAGCTTAATTTAACAATTGGACAATTTTGCTTTTACAACCAGTATATAATATGTCCTTCCAGACCTCCCTCTGGAAGAAGGAGGAGTGGCTTTTAGTCCTGATTAGAATCAGCCTTTGATGATTATATATTAAATATATAACATCCTCTGTCTATATCTCTATATTGAGGTATTATGATTACTCAATGGTACATGGTCCAGTAGATAAAGGGTGTAGTTCAAAATTCCAATCACCTGCAGAAGACCAGAGCATACAATGTCTGAAACATTGTGAATATGGCAGTGAAGATGAAGATAACACCTTGAATAATGTAAATAATGCAAGTAATCATATAACATCCTATCTTTTGGTGTGTTTTTTTATTTTATTTGCTGCACAGTTTTTTTTGTTTTTTTTTCAGTCCTCAATAGAATTCCTGATTAGAGAGGAATGAAAACTAGTTAGGCTTCTAATTTTTCCCTTCTTTTTGTCTTTCATTTAGCCTCTCTACGATAATTATAAAATGTTTTATTATTTTTTCCTGTTTGATTTTTAATTGATCCACTTTTATTGCTGTTATGAAATTTCGTACACCTGGCAAAATATATTTAAAATAAATACAAAAGTTATTTTGTCTTGGCAATATTAGGCCATACTGTGAGTTAAAATTAACAGCAAAAGTGCAATGACTTATAGTTTAATGCTTACTCACTTGTGAATTTCTTTTTCTCTGTCTATTACAGAGAGTGAAAAAAAGGTTTTACAAGCTGCAGCCATTGTTCAGAAGAACACTGGTTGTCCAATTATTATCCATCCAGGAAGAAGTCCAGCTGCACCTGAAGAAATCTTAAGAATCATACAAGAATCTGGTGCCAAAGCAGATCAGATTGTAATTTCCCATCTGGACCGTAAGTTTAACCCTTAAACATGAATTATTCCAATGTTTCTACCCAAACTGAACAGAGATTATTTAATGAAGACTATAAGACGAAATGCAAGAGGTATAAACAACGTATTTCATTGAATGTCTGTTTATTCTGATTTCTTCAAGCTGGAATGAAAGACCAAACTATGTGTAATGAAAATGTATTGGTATTTTGGAAGATAAGAAACCGTAATTTAAATTACCTTATCAGATCCAATGACCTGAAACCAGAAATTAATTTCTTTTATATATATATATATATATATATATATATAAAATTTCATATATAACTAAAGATGTATCTGTAAACGGACAATAATAAAGTTTTCTTTTTGTTTTTATTCATTTGGGGACATTGAGGTCAACACTCAGCAGTGAAAGTCTGTTTCGTGCATAAATGCAATCATCAGAACATATCTGTGACAACTGCATTTAAGGATGGGTGTTGATTTCAATATCTGCTTATATAGTTTTGAACAATAAAAAATATTAAAATTTTCAGACACACTGGGGTGTATATTAATATTTTATTGTTTTATTATTTCAATTATTTTCCTCGAGTAGTTTTGGCCAGCATGGCCATCATCAGGAGAAAAATTCATGCTTGTTAGTAGCAATGAAACTACAGGAGTGAATGACTGTCTCTGAAGAAAGTGAACTTTATCTGGAGTTTTCATTTGTTTTTTGTCGTTAATTTTGGTCAGTCTTTATGTTGGTTAAACAGACTCTTTCAAGTTGTTTTTAAGATAGAGGATGGGGGGGGGGATTCCTGATTCTCAAAATTCCCTACTTGGTCATTTTGACAGTTTTATTTTATATATAATATATATATTATATATATATATATATATATTATATTATATTATATATATATATATATATATATATAAGTTGTAGCCTCTCTGTTTATCAAACTTCTTGAGTTTTGGAGATAAATCCCCATAACCAAGTATATTCTGAAGCTACATTATCCAGAGTACTTGGATAAGTATATTTCATTTTGATCAGTTTTTAGGTAATGTAATAAAAATTTGTTTTTGTGTCTGAATTTTGAGATGAGATCTGATATATATATATATATATATATTAAATTGTAAGAGTTTTTAGGTGCAAAAATTGCTAGTTCTTTTTTCATAGTTTACTAGTGGAAAGTCAATAGCCCTGAAGAGTGAAAGCATTGATACAATGCACTCATGCAACTTTGAAGTCAGCATAGCTGAAATAATGCCACTCAATTAAGTGATGAGTTTCTCCCACATTTATATATATATATATATATATATATATATATATATATATATATATAATGAGAATGAATCAAATATAAATTCCAATATTCATAACCTTAATTTATAAAATGCTACACAAATGCATTCATGTTTTGATATGTATAAACACATCTCATCAGGTGTTAGTAAAAACTTTTTTTTTAATCACACCTGATGATGATACACATCAAAATGTGTGCATTTGTATAGCATTTTTTCTACGTGTTTGAATGTAATATCCTATAATAAAGTGTGTGTGTGTGTGTGTATATATATATATATATATATATATATATATGAGAGAGAGAGAGAGGGCTGTTGGATTTTATATCAGTACACATTTTTTCTATGGTTTCTGCTAATTTGTGGGGTCATGCTGGAGTGAGAGGTGCTGGCTTGTTTGTTTTTTTTTGTATATCTATATTAAAGCTGTTTGTGTCTGTTGGATATTAAATCTTTTATTTTGGATTCAATTATACATCCTGTGAGCACACACACACTGTTTAATATAAGTCAGAAAGACAATCCAATTTTAGGTAAGGAAAATTTTTTTCTGCCTATTTTTCTTTTCCCTCCCTGCTCAACTTCAGGCATCAGAGACTTTTACAGGAGCTGGAGGTTTTTTATTTTTTTTATTTTTTTTTCAGTGGAACAATTCCTTTGTGACATTGTTGAGATGGATTGTTTTAGCAGATGTTTTTTTTTTTTTTTTTTTTTTTTCAATCAATCAGAGTTTGAGATTGAATTTATCTGCCATTGAGATAAAAGCTGGAATAGCTTGTTTTCAGCAGTTTGTGCAAATTGCTGCAAACACAAGCCTCGAACGATCATGATAAAACTTTAAATTAGAACAAAACGCCCAACTCTTGCAAGATATTTCATCAGACACGTGAATGCAAAGTAATCTCTTGCGAGATGTATCATCAGCTTCTTGAATGCAACATACTTTCTTGCGGAGGGGGGGGCACAGTGGAGTAATGGATAGTGGCCCAGATTGAGGAATCTGAGAGCCGAGTTTGCATTTCAGTCGAATCCATTACTTAAATGCTAATACCCTTGGGAAAGGTATGAAACCTCTTCTTCTCCCTACAGCTATGGGTAAATAGCAGGACAGACTGGGTTCTATAGCCTTGGATGGTAACTGGTCTACCGTAGAAAGTAATAGCAACCTACTGCAGGGAAAAATAATCTGCCTCATCAGTCATGTATCAAAAGATACATGATCACCTAAGTATGTATCATGCATGGCACTGACTGAATCTCTTGCAAGATATCTCATCGATCACTTGAAAAAAAAAAAAAATTCTTGTCAGCTGCTTTCGAGTTAATTTTTTGTTGTTTATCTTAGTAAAGAAATATTTGAA